TTAATAGATTAAGGACAAATATTCGCATATTGTAATGGTGAGAGAGAGAGAGAGAGAGAGTGAGAGTAAAGAATAGATTAAATTATAAGATATGAAAGATTGAGAAAAATCATAAATACCCAGATTTTGCAATGGTAGCAGAGAATAAGAGAGAAATGATAAGGATAATTTGTAAGAAAGAATAATAGGCTTAAAGTGAAAACTGCTTGATGACATACAATTTCTTCATCAATCTTTTTTTTTTCAATCACTTAAAATCATTGGCTATTTGTCTCTCTACCTAACTAAGCGGGAGTTTCGAAAAAATTGATTCGAAATATCCCCTAACAATGTAATACATATCCTGGCTACGATTACACGTACACGTACGTTATCATGTCCTTTAGCTACGTGATCAAAATATTAAGACTAAGAATGAATACGTGAACTTATTTTATGTCATCCCAGTAGTTTATGTGATCCCGAAATCAAGCGGGAATATGTTTGAGTATAAAAGTATTTGCACTCCGTTTTGCACTATTGCACTATTTTGCACTAATTATTTTGCACTATGTTTTACACTAAGTGTTGCACTATTCACTTTCCGTTTTGCACTCCTTACTAGATCTCAATAACTTGTATCATCATTTCATTATCATTTTAAAATCATCTGATAAAGTTAGCTGATAAAGTTACTCTTTGATAAAGTTTTTTTTTCCACTTAATTTCAATAATATTCTTCGGTACTCTCTCATTATATGTTGTCGAAAAAGTGAAAAAAGATTTTCACGTTCTTTAGTCTTAATATATTAAAGATATCTGATAATGTATATCAAATAGCTTTTACGAATGTGAAAATAATCAAATTCCAACAATTTCTCATCAAATTGTACAAAATATATTGGGATAGAAGTAAGCGACAGTGATTGGAAGTTCGGATAATTGTCACATCCTTTGTTTTTGCCTTTTTTTTTTTTTTTAATGCAATATAAGGTTTTTATTAGGATAGAAATAAATAGAAACGATTATTTTATAATAGCATTGATAAAATTGTATTCAGAAATATTTGCATTTCAGTTTCAAAAATGGATTCAAAACGAACAGGTGCAATTAAACGTTGGGTTAGTAGTTTATTATGATTTATTTACTGTTATATTATGCATTATTCGTGTCGAATATTTTGCATTATACATTTAGAATCTTACAGATTTAGTATGAGTCTTTTTTCTTTTTCTAAGGTATTTTACATTTTCAGTAGAATTTTCCATTTTGCAATTGGATTGTATTTATTCTTTCTAAATCTCACGATAATTTATTATTTCATTGCATCATTTATTATTCATATCAAGATATGTATAATCGTTGTATTTCTTTAATTCGTTTAACGGTTTTTTTTTTTAATTTTTAATTTTCTTGTAATTTTCTGTTATTAATTTTAATTTTCTTTTTAATCTTTTTGAGCCTAAATTACTTTATTATTATCATTATTGAATCTGACAGGAACAATATGTTACTGATAATGCAAAAATTGAAATGTTTAGTGTTTATTTCTTGTTGAAATATTTATTGCAGTTTGAGCAATTACTAAGGGCAAAATTAGCTATTGATCCAGTGGATGGCTGGGCTTTGCTGTATAAACGGCACATATCCGTTATAACTCATCTCATGTGAGTTTTCTAATACTATGGAAACTTAATATAATTGCAGAGTTAGAAAAGAAATGAAAATTCCTGACAGTTATTCGTCTTTCCGAAGAACAGCTTCTTTTGGATTAAATTTTGAAATGCTTCATTCGGCTTAAATTTTCAGTATTACTGGTAAATTTAAAAAATGCGAAGAAAAGTCAAGCCAAGAAGCATATACGAAGGCATATCAGGCTTTAATGGATCAGATGACGGATGCTTCGTTTCTGGATCATTTGAAGCCGGAGTTAGCTGCGACGGGTGATAATTTTGAGGTGGCTAAATTTTTGGTCGTTTTTTTGAATGAGTTACGGATAAGTTTGGAGATGGTTTTCGAGGAAGACTATGGGTTAACTGAAGAAGAAAATAAGCATATTGGAGCAATACTATGTTATCTGGAAGATCATCAAAACTGGGATCCTTATGAGTCTTGGCCTGCAGTGTTGTTCCAGAGCGGTGATGAACCTGTGGATTCGAAAAGTTTCATTACTCCCAAGGTATGTTTCATCTGTGTTCCAGTAGTTTCTCGAATTTTCTCGAATTTCTTCTAACACCAAGGATCTGAAGTTTCATTCTTCATTAGCTAAAGTGATTTGGTGAAGAATAGTTCCTATAGGCTTACTTTTTTTAAAAAAGTAAGTCTTCCAGATCCGTCGATCAAATCATTGTGGGTTCGCAAGAAGCGAAAGAGCAGATATGAGACGTAGTCCACTTTCCGAAATCGTTTCCTCTCCTCGTTCACGCGAACTACGAATAATACGTGAAAAAGACAGAAAGATAAAGGTTTTTGGTCTTTTTTTTGCTTTTTTTTGAATTTCAACGAGGGCAAAATCCTCCTCAAAAAGAGTTATGTATATTTGTCAAGTCTAGATTAAAACAATTTAGACTCTGAGTGAAAGATTAAAACAATTTAGACTCTGAGTGAAAGATGCAAGCTACTCGAGTACGAGAAAGACGATATAGAAAGCTCGCTAAGAACTGCTAATCAGGAAATCAAAAAACTTGTAAAAAGGTTGCCATACGAATTTTCGATTTATCTGTACCTTTTTTTCTCACCAATTCGTCTCATACTACCAATTTTATTCAATTTTGTTCTTGTCTCTCTACTTCCCATTCTAGCATATTATCGGATCATCCCGATCAGCTAATCTTATCTATCCTTTATCTTCATTTACCAAGCAGATTTCATCTTGATGTTATACAGTATCTTAGTGTTATTGTTCGTGAATTACAGCCATAGTGAAGTAAGTGGTGCTGTCAGTGAGAAGGATGCACGATGTCAGACTCTGACTACAGAATTGGATGACTGGCGAACTAAAGCGGCTGCAGCTGAGGAAGAAAACAGTCAAATGAGACAACAACTAAAGTCTGTAAAGCAAGAACTGCATACAACTCAAGTAAAATTATTAAAATTTAATTATTAAACGCACCGAGTTTTTTGTTTTCATTGCTGCTGTAGCTACTGCTTAAAGCAGGATTGAAATCCTTTCGTAAAGTATATCTATTGCAAAACTGTCTTTTTTTTCTCTCAATATTTTATTCTTGTGATTTCAAAACAGATTGTTACAGAGGCAGTTGCGTGAAGCTGAATTCGACATTTTATCTAAACAAAGAGCTGTTGAGAGCTGGGAAAAAAATGCGACACTGGAGGAGCAGTGGCGATTGAAAATGGAAAGAGAACGAGAAGAGCTTTTACAGGTGCGCGAAATACATAGGAGATTATTGTGCATTCTTGTCGAAGGTTTGAATAAAATAAAAATTGTGTAATTTTATTAAAGGAACTTGAGGTGACTCGAATCTCAAAAACAGCCGCCGAGGAGCGATTGCTACGTCTCACAACCAACGATGAAGCCGAAATTGCCGAATTGCGAAACATCATCGATGGATTACGATCGGACATAAAGGAAGCGGTGTGTTAAATTCTGATTTATTTGAGTTATGGTAACTGTTAATTTATGATTTAATGAAGTCTTAATGCTGTAGCGACGAGAAAAGGATGAAGTACTGATCAGTCAAGACGAAAGATTGAGGATCAAGGAATTGGACATTGCAAGGTCTGCCGCTGTGATTGCAGAAATGAAAAAGCAACTAAGTGTCGCTCAAATTTCTGTCCGAAACATCCGCAGTTTAGCTGTGCAGGTATTATTGTTGTTTCTTCCTGTGAAACTCAATTTTATTTTGATTTTTGAAATTCAATCATCTAATGATTCAGTGCAGTGCATTTAACAGATATCGAAGTCGTGGGTCTTGTGAAAACGACCGGCGATGCCAAAATGTTTAGTAATTTTAGTAAATTTTTAGTTGTTAATAGTTTTAAATATTTGAAGTACGATGCGGAAAGTTATATGTTTGCAGGTACGAAAACTTTGTGGGGAATTGGAAAACAGGCGCACCGAAATTCAGGGTCTGCGACTCCTGTTCTCAGGTATCCAGAATGGATATCAAACTCTGCAAGAAGAGAATGCGCAAAACAAAGCAATGATTGAAAGCCTACGAAACAATGTATTTTTTTCCTAATCTATTGAGTATCGATTGTGGTTCATTGGATGATTGCTGTAATGAATTTCTTTATGAAGTCACTGGGAGATTTTACTTTCAAGAGCAAATGTCACATGTATAAATTCATCATTAAACAAATGTTAAAACAAAATCAAAAATTTTATTTTGGGTATGAGATATATTGTTTTGTGTTTCTATTCTATAACTAATAAAAAAGTATTATTGTTTTATAGGCAGCGATAAGCGAATATCAGTCGAAAGCATTGGCTGCATCATTAGAGGATCAGCGGAAGAAGGTATATGCAAAATAGGCAAAAGCTTTTTTTGTTCAGAATCTCCAAAAAACATTTTAATTCGCCAAAATTATTTTTTTTAGCATGTAGAAGCAATGATGGCAAAGCAAGAAATTTTAAATGAAAGACAGCGAATGCTCTCGGAAGCGTGGAATCAGTTAAATGGCAGCGTTGAGCTCAGTATTCGTTTGCAGGAAGAACTGACACGGCGGGATGGTATATTTTTTGATGTTTCATGAGTTTTTTTTCTTTTCCATGGATTCTCATATTTGAGGCTATTCGTCCTGTCGATTGCATCCAATTTATCTAGTAATTAGGCAATTATTATTTCGTATTATTTTTTCATCTCCAATGAGTGGAATAGTGTCTAGAATATACCCCGAACTACTTTGATGTCATTGAGTTGAAATGATTATCATAATAAAAATGTATGAATGTGCGAAATTTTTAGAAAAAAAAAAATTTAATACATTTAGTTCTTCTTCTGTAAATGTTCGATACTTTTAGTTGCATACCATGCTCTTGAGCAACGCCTTGCTTCTACCGAGGAAAGATGTTCAACAATTTCCCAGCATTTCTCAATCAGCAACAGCACTTTGGATAGTAAACCAGCTGAGGAAATAGCCAAAACAAATTGTCACTTTTCGGAAATCGTAGGTAGTATTTGCTTTGATATTCCATCTCTTATTTCATATGAAATGATATATACCACTTCACATACCTGTACACTGAAGAGTTGTATAGAAAACAGATGCATATATAGTGGCAGACGGATTATCCAACGAAGATTTATCAGTTGAAAATTTATATATAAAAATTGATGTACATTTCAAAAAATAGAATTAAATCACTGCAGACGTGTCCTCTGGGGCGCTACCCCATGAGTTTCATCCACTTCCGGAAGTGGAAGATGAAAATGATGTGTTGTCGTCATCATCCGTAAATGGCGATCCGTATATGTTGAAGGTGGAAGCGCATCCCGGTAGGCTGAACACAGCGGATGAGTAATTTTTATCTCGTTTAATCACAGATTTTGAACGTTTTTTCACATCACTTTCAGTTAACCATTTGTCTTTTATGTTAATGAGGTTTTTGTTTGGAAGATTTTGCAAAAGTGCGATTATGTCTGCGGAGGGAATGTTTATTGTTTAAGGCAAGAGCAATTTAATACTTCTGTGGACAGTGAACGCTTGGCGGAATTAAACAGACGCAACAAGACCGTACCACCGCACATGCGTTCAACTTACGCTACGGAATTGACATATGTTCCGAAACGTTTCTCATCTGAAAAACTCGAGGATGAACTCAAAAATTCCGAGGATTTTACGCCATACTTGTATAAGAGTGGTGGTGATACTTCCAGCTTAGTATCACCAAGCAACTTATCCAAAACAAAGGTTAATGAATTCTTAATTAGCTGTATAGCTTCTTCATAGATTAATATTAGATAGATCGGCAAAAAGGTTTTCGGGTCAAAATATTTTTTATCAAAATCATAGACTGATTGCATTTTAATAGATTGCTGCTTCTAAAAGATCCGATAAAATTTATGGCTTCACTAGCTGGTCTGCATGCATCGTCGTTTTTTCACATCTTTTTAAATGATAAACTGATAAATCAACTCTCTTTTCAGTATGCTTCATGGTCATTGCGCAGTGTCAAAAAACATTTTGGGAAAATATTGCAAGAAGCGAATTCATCCAAGACGAGTTTAATTAGTAAAGGTCGGAGTCCATTAAGGTGGAAGAACTGAATAATTAATTATTCATTATGATAGAGAGAAATATATTTAGCTGGAAATGGGTCTAAGTTCTTTTTTTAAATTTATTTATTACTATCACTTGTCCATTTATCACAGAATAGTAGTATGTTGAAAGCAGAAAACTGTTATGTATGACTTTGTTTAGTCTACCTTTTTTGGTTAGGATGTTGCTGTTTGAATTTATCGACTTATTCGATCAGTACCTGGTAATGTATTACCTGTTTGAACTAGCGCTGCCTATGATTTTCATAGTACTAATGAAAGTCATAATATTAAATATTTGGCGGAATTCTTTTGATGCTTATTGGTTACAATTTATTATGTATTTGTTATACGTATTTATTGCTTATTTTCTAGCCTCTTTGTATTATTTTCATTTCACTTTACAAATTATTAATTGTGTAAATATTAATTAGATAAATGTTCATACAGCTATGATTATGATTGATAAAATTTAATGATATTTATTGCATTATGATATATTAACAGAATGATAGATTATCATTCAATAGATGTAACTTCATAGAAGAATCAAATTACGACAAATAAACTATGAAAAGTTTATGATCTTTCATTGTATAGAATTTTTTCTTTTTCTTTTTACAACAAATAGTAAGTAATGCTAAGTCAGTCTTAGTTTGCTTTCCGAAATAAATGAATAGATTATTAATTGAGGAAAGTACGAAGTTATCAAAAATATATTTAGGAATACTTAAATACTGGAGATTTTTGCTGAAATCTTGCTTTTCAATTACCTAAAATGATAACTTTTAGTAGTGGGAAAATCAGTAAGTAATCAGTTTGTTTGTTTTTTTTTTGTCTTTTTGACCGCAGTTTTTTCTTCCTTTTAACAACAAAATTACTAACTAACTGGAGAAATTACGCGGTACAAGAAAAAAATCTCATCGTAATACTGTGAGTAATACCGTAAACTTCTACTTGTACGCTTTCCATACCGATACATCAATATTATCTTCATATCAATATTGATTCTTCTTTTTTTCTGGAAAATGTTAGCTTTCATAGCTGTGAACAGTTGATCTATTATTGAATAAGATATTATCCGGAAATTTTCGAATGACGAATTGCGCAAAAGAAATAATTTTTGCAAAAAAAAAATTAATTATTTGAATTTAAGCTTCCTCTTAAATCCATTCATTTTTAGCCTTCCTATAAATTTAAAGTTAAATTTGATCAAATTTTAATATACAATTCGCAAATGATTCAATCTTCGATTGCTAATCTATGAACATTTTTTGTTTTCATATCTAAGTTTTCATTTATTCAGACTTTCTCCATTAGTTTATTAAACTAATCACTTTTTTTTGCTTATTTTTCCTTGTTTTTTTTTTTTTTTTT